CACTTGTGGCACACATGCCATAGGTTCACCATCATGGATCTATGCCATATTTGCCTTCATCTCAACTAGAGCTTTCAAGAATTGTTATTGTTATACTGCTTTAGCATGACTACCATATCCAAATTAAATGGATACTCTCCAGATAATCTCCAGATGACCTCATGCTATTAATTATATACTAGGGCTTGCAAAGCCTTTGAAAAAGAGATTTCACAATCCCAGGAGGAACACATATAAAACATATTGTTTTGAATAGTTAAAGCAACTGCATCACTCACAAAATTCATAAGACTATAATGGAATCTTCTCCTGGTTGGGCCTACCTTATCCAATCATCTGTATCAATATTCCTCATCATGTGCTGGCCCAAACAAGAATGGTTTCCCTTCAATTTCCTTCACTTTTCTCTAGACTTGGTTTTTAGGTCTACAACTACAGCATCTCACTACCAGCAATTTGTTTTCCTCGTCTATTATGATAGGTTAGAGCACGGGTGTCCAATTTTTTTATCTTTCTTGGGCCACACTGAGTGAAGAGGAATTTTCTTGGGCTGCATATAAAATATATAATATAGTTAAAGGAGCCACAGTGGCACAATGGTTAGAATGCAGCACTGCAGGCAAATTGCCCACAACCTCGAGTTCGATCATGACAAGGATCGATTCACCCTTCCGTCTTTCCAAGGTTGGTAAAATGAGGACCCAGATCGTTGGGGGCAATAATCTGACATTTTAAGACATCCGGAGAGTGTTGTAAAAGCACTATGGGGTGATATGTATGTTGAAGTGCTATTGCTATTACTAATGTATGTAAATCACATAATGTTAAAAGTTTACAACCTTGTGGGGCTGCATTGCTGATTATCCAGGGCTGCACACAGCTTGTGGGCCGTGGGTTGGACACACTTGGGTAAGAGCAACTTCACATTTCAAGTCAAATAGAAATTAATGTAAACTAATGTATTAATGTAATTCATCTTCTCTATCTTTCATCTTTCCTTGTTATCTATTGGCCTACGGAGGATCCACAATAGCAATAACACTTATATACCGCTCCATAGTGCTTTACAGCACTCTCTGAGCAGTTTACAGAGTCAGCATATTGCCCCCAATAATCTGGGCGCTCACATTACTGACTTCAGAAGGATGGAAATGGGAGTCAACTTTGAGCCCATCAGGATCGAAATCCAGGTTGTGGGCAGAATTTGCCTGCAATGCTGCATTCTAACCATTGCACCAAAGGGCTGATTTTCAGCCTTGACAGTTCAAATAATACAGGATTCTACAGACCAGAGATAAAGGTTCTTTCCCCTTACACACGGATCTGTTCTTGTCCCCTTCTAAAACTAAATTAAAATGGAATAAACAGAGGCAATAGTTTAACACTGAGCAAACTGTCCTCAAAGGCTACAGTCCCAAAGCTTAGTAATGATAGGATCATTCAAATTTTTTATAATCATGTGCCCTAGATCCAGGTTATCATCTCAGTTCTCCAGAATAACTCTAGAATCTCAACCGGCTGGATGCGTCACGTGCAGGCCACGTCCACCCTGGCTCCACAAAGGCAAAAAACGTTGTGATATGTCAAGATACATCACATGATGCGATCGAGTTTGACACCTGTGCTCTACATCAAGCTCACTAGGTGCTTTTCCATCTTTAAGGGAAGTTTTCTATCCTCAAATTGGAGTTCCCCAGACTCTTCTAAGAATGCATATGTGTTTTTGTATGCTTCTATCTTGACTCTAAGGGACACTCAGTAGCTCAGTGGCTAAGACGCTGAGCTTGTCAATCGAAAGGTTGGCAGTTCAGTGGTTCAAATCCCTAGTGCCACGTAACAGGTCCCAGCTTCTGCCAACCTAGCAGTTCGAAAGCACGTAAAAAATGCAAGTAGAAAAATAGGGACCACCTTTGGTGGGAAGGTAACAGCGTTCCGTGCGCCTTTGGCGTTTAGTCATGCCGGCCACATGACCACGGAGACATCTTTGGACAGCACTGGCTCTTCGACTTTGAAACAGAGATGAGCATTGCCCCCTAGAGTCAGGAACGACTGGCACATATGTGCGAGGGGAACCTTTACCTTTTTATCTTGACTCTGGGTTGTTTGTTTGTTTGTTTGTTGACAAATATACTGCCTATATCAGAAAACAAACCTCTTCTTTCCACATCCTTTCCCCTGCTTTAGCATAATTCTCAAACCTTATCTTCCTCCTTTGCCTAAAGATCCCTTTCCTCAAGCCAGCCCTGTCTTGATGACTACAGCCAAATACTCAAAAGCCTGAGGCATTCAACCCCATTTAAAACTGCCAAGTCTTTCACTTCAACCAAGCAAGCCTGGTTTTCTTTTCTGTACACCTGAGAGGTGGAACTACCAGAGGCAGCTGCAGCTCCTCTGAGAGCCAGAGTGGAGCAGAATGCTGTTGAGAGAACAAAACAAAAAAACACATCACATCAGGCAAATAAATTCTTCCACTTAATATCATCATTGCCACAAAGTTAATTTGTAAAAGTATTGTACCCGGAAGTCTAAGAGAGAGAGATCCAAAGGAATAAGAGAGAAGGCAAAACCATTGCATTTTGAAATTTCATTTGTGGATAGATCTGAAGATTGCAGACAATGGATTTTCAAAACTATTGAGATTGATTGGAGCCTGGAAATGCACTGCTACAGCTTGTCAAACATCTGACCTTAATGGGGCCTCCCTTTCCCACAATGGCAACTATGAGGAACAAGGAGGCTTCAAATGTGGAAGTTCATGGATGTTGTGTTTTCTTGGGAGGAATTATATCTGAGTGTTTTTAAGAAGGTTCAATTATCCATTTCTATGATGTTCGTAGAAAAGTAGCTTATGTGTTATTTGTGTTGGAATTATCACAACAGCTTTATTAGGAAATTAAATACTATAGATTATAGATTAAAATCTTGGTAATTACTATTAAATATTGTTTTTAAATTGCTTTGTTAAAGCTATAACTTTATCCCAGCAATCATCAAATTCCTATTAAAATGAATGTGGCTACTCCCACTCTACATTTGGCAAACTGAAGCAGAAAGATAACTTGTTGAAATCAGGGAGTGATCTCTCCATCCACTTGGTTGTATTAATTGGAAGAGTACAGATAATGTGTACTGCTATTGTGATTAATTCCAGAACTCTGAATTGCAAAACATTTGAGCCACAATCATATAACGGAAAGGCAAGAATCATGATCTTTTTCTTGGCAGTAGCTTGCTGAGTTGATATTCAACATGAAGGATACAGGTAAAAAGAATTCTAATATTCCTTTCTTGAGGACTGGTAACCTGAAATGACTTCCCTGTTTTGGCAAGAAAAGATCTTTTGAAAGGTTTTATTTGTGATAACCTTTAGTTTCTGGTATTTAATTGCTTTATTCTTTGATAAATTATTTATAACCATGTTATAAATGTTATAACATGGTTAGAAATGGGATGTTTGTAGAAATGGTTTCCTTTGGTTACATATTTCATTCAAATTACTCAGTTTTCGGTTATTGTTTAGAGTTTAGCATATCCAGTCCCAGAGGCCTAAATGTTCTACACAGATATGACTAATGTATGCATTCCTGTAGCTTCAAGATATTTAATACTTCAGTGTTTAAGAATGCCAAATGATGCGTAGGCCTCAAAGAGAAAATGATTCCTTCTGAGCATTTGACAAACCCCTGTTATTTTCATTCATGTAAAATGGATGTCATGTGAGGATGGCAAGAAAATATTGAGTACTGACCTTAAGCACTGTCCCAAGAGGGAAAAAAAAGAAGGGACACAAGACTTTTCGATAAAATATCTCAAGCCATCTGATAAATTGAAAGCAAAGGGTCTCAGGCATTCTTTTAATCTTTTGTTTTTCAGATTATGTAGACTTTTTAATTGTAAGATAATTTGTGCCTTTTAAAACCAAACACCGAATTCCTTACATCATAAAACTGTTTTACAGCCTTGCATATTTTAGCAATTCAATAAACCTTTTACAAATAATCCAGAAAGTCCAGCTGATGTCACACTTTGGTCATTTGCACTCTCCAGGGAACCTTTTACTACTAGGCTACCTAAAATCCTAGAGACACCAAGAATCCACAGTATGCAAAGAAATAACTTTTCACTCTTTTCACCTTTCTTCTAGGGATGTTTCAGGTATGAAGCATAAACTTAAAGGTGTATCTTCAAATTCAGCTGCTGCTCATTGGTAGTATGTACGTAATTTAAAACAAGGACAGGAGTCATCTACCAATAGTATAAGTGTAGGAGGAGCCTATTACAAGCAACACTGAAAAGCTACTAAAATATGTGATATTGAAACTAGGGCTGGGATTGGTTCAGAGCAGAGGAGAACACAAAACCACACTCTCTCTGGAGCATCTTAAAGCAGCTATGCCACAAAATCCCCAGATAAGACATAGCTACTTAAAATGATGCAGTAAATTTGAGCTTCCACACATCCTGAAACACTGTTGAGGAACCAAATCTAAAGTACTGCACAGGCCTTAAAAAAAACCCACCAGGGATTCATTTCTTTTGACAAAATGAGTTTTGCCATTTAGGCTGATCCTGCTATCCTCTGTGAGCTAGTTTACACTGAAAAGGAGGTTGTTCCCCTAAGTGCTTAGTGCCAATTTAAACTACCATGTTTCATCTGGAAATTTCTCTATTTCAGAGGAAGTACCCTTACAATCCAAACGATTGTTTTTTACCAGTGGCTGAAATCAAGATGTGTGACCAGGAAATAAATTCCACTGAACCTAGAGAAATTGTTTCTCATAGAAAACATGTTTACATTTTTGACTTTTAAGAGTATATCTTGAATTTCCAATCCATATTAAAGGAAGCAGCTGATGGATCAGTTATGAGGGGAATTTTCTGCTCTTCATACAAAGAATATGGAAACCATGTATACTTGATGCATACAGTTATTGAAAAACAGAATAACACAAATAATATATTGCAAGCACAAAAAACAAGTAATATACACTTACTATATGTTAACTGTTTATCCATCCAGAATTTTTAATCTGATTACCACATTACTTAGGAACATTAATAAACACAAGAGAAAAAAATGTGCTATTTTTTCTTAAGAATGATGGAAGCCATTTCCATGTGAGTAGTATATGTAATCCCCAAGTACTTGGATTCTTATTTTATATGGCTCTTCCACACACAAAAAAACTTTGTTATGTACAACACTAAATTCTTATCATATATATTTTCAGTGCCATTATGAGTTATTTTTTTTAAAAAAATCTAAATAGGTATACCTGTATGGACAAATATTTGTGGCAGTTGTTGCAAGTGACTACTAATTATTATAGCTTTTTAATGTACTTAACCTGCATATTTAGGATAGTAAAATGCTCAAATTTACAGTCACTTTAGAGAAAGGACATATTTTTGTGGGCATTTGTCCTTCAAGTTGAATATGTAGGACAGTGAAAATGACATAAAAGGTTCCAGCAATATACTTTTTATGGAGAATATGTTATTGGTATTAAAAAAAATTACACAGCCCACCCCACCCCACCCCAAAGTTACATATTATGAGCTACACAAAATCTAAAATGTAGGGACTTTTCACAGTACATTGCACTAAATGAACACATAGTAGATTAAAAGATGTGAATTCAGAACTTCCGCTTAAAAATTTAAAGTTTCTGACATCATCTTCCACCATTCCATTAGCTCTTCCTTTTCCTCTTCTTTTCTTTCAGACAATGATTCCAAGTCAAAATCAACCTAGAAAGTGGAAGCAAACATGAATGCTAATATTCTTAATTTATAAGTGAAAAAAAATGGATTTATTAACTAAAATTGTATATATACTAGATTTAAATCCATTTCCCCAGTAGAGACTTACAGCATTGTTTCAAATCACCCAGCCATCACTGAGAAGATGGATGGATAGATGGACAGACAAATACATTGATGATGATTCTAGAAAATCTGCCTTAGAATACATCAACTGAAATCAATGAGAATCATAACATAATTCTGACTTATTTCAATAACTCTGCATTAAGTCTACATCTCCCTGAATCCTGTTAATTGGAATCTTTACTTAGCTTGGTGTTTTTAATTATAGAAGGTTTTTAGTTCATTCCTATCTTAAAAGGTTGTTAGCTAAAAGCATTGGAAACCATTCTCTAAATTTTCTATTGTGCTAAAATAAATTCTAGATACAAAAAGAAAAGCTAAATTTATTTTAGCACAATAGAAAACTTAGAGAATGGTTTCCAATGCTTTTAGCTAACAACCTTTTAAGATAGGAATGAACTAAAAACCTTCTATAATTAAAAACATCAAGCTAAGTAAAGACCAAGTTCTTCTAGGTTTTAATTCAAACCATGTATATGGTGCTTAAAAGTTAGTGAACTCTTGATTTTTGGATATTTCTACATAAACATGACTTAAAAAATGAACTGTTCTCCCACCAAGTCCTAAAGCTATATAAAGTGAACACATTTAAACAAATGAGCATTGTTCATTTATTCATTAAGGCAAAACTACATATAAGTGCATGACAAAACTTTGTGAACCTTTGCTTAGATCACGTGAAGTGACAGTACTGCCTTATACTGCACTGTTGGAATACTTGGAATACTGCATCCAGTTTTGGTCACCAAAATACAAAAAAGATGTTGAGATCGTAGAAAGAGTGCAGGAAAGAGGAAAGATGACAAGGAGCCTGGAGGCTAAACCACATAATGAACAATTGAAGGAATTAAGTATGTCTAGTCTAATGAAGAGAAGGTCTACGGGTAATATGATAGCAGTCTTCCACTACTTAAGAGGCTGTCATGGAGAAGGAGGAGTCAAGCATATAAAAGGATCAAGCACATGAGGCCAGGAGAAGAAATAATGGGTGGGAGATAATTAAAAGGAGATCAATCTAAGAACTGAGGAGAAATTTCCTGATGGGGGAATAATTAATCAGTGGAACAGCTTGCCTCCAGAAGTTGTGGTTGCTCCATTACTGGAGGTTTTCGAGAAGAGATTGGACAGCCATTTGTCTGGAATGACATAGGGTCTTCTGCTTGAACAGGGTATTGGACTAGAAGATCTCCAACCCTATTATTCTACGTATTAGTAATTAGTGAGCTCCCTCCCCTCTCAATAGAGAAATAATAGCCGCAACTCAACGTTTATGAAAATTGTTGATCAGTCCTGTATGCTCACTTGGAGAAATTTCAGCCCATTTCTCCTTACAGACTCAGGGATGTTGATGGCTTCCTTGCATGAGATTTGGGTTCTTGAATAACATTTCTACAGTATTAAAGTCAATGTTATATCTAGTTTTAGGAATTGTGTGGAGAACAAATCATGTTTTAGGTCATGCCTATGCAGAAATATTTAAAATTCAAATGGGTTCACAAATTTATAAGTACCACTCTACTTGGCCTAGATTTGAAGGACTGAATTAGTTTTATATTGCTGTCTGTGGATATTATACGGATCTTTGTCTCTCTTTTGATTAGAATTTTTCTTCTTTTGTCATCTGCCTTACCGTAATCATTGTAATATAAAATCAAATTTTCTTTTATTCCCTGTAAAATGACTAGCCATTTTTTCCTATGTTGTATTATATTTTGTTTGCTTGCCTTTCTCTCTATTCCTTTCTGACAGAGTTTTTTTTATCTTTCAGATAAAGAAATACTTAAAATATTTCATAGAGTTCCAATGAGACTTGATGTACAAAACATTAAAAACATTGATAGGAATGGGCACTCTAAGTTAAATGCAAAAATGGTACCACTTACCCTAATAGCAGGACTGAAGGGAACAGCCACTTTTTTAGTGATTGCTAGGTAGCCAGGTGCTGAAGCTGTCACTTTATAATTTCCAGGTACCAACAGCCTCCAGTAATCACCATCCTTTGCTAAGGAAACAGAAAGATGCCACTATTTTTTGAAAACTTTTAGGAACATGCTTAAGTGGCACTGAAATATGTTTGATCTGGTTTGTTTTATAATTAGAATCTCAAGAGGCCACTGGAGTCAGGTGCAAAATACAAGAGTGATTTTGGAAAGGGGAAGAAAAGGCCTTTTTACTGGAACCCCATATATTTTTGTTCTTCCCATCTTAAAGCATGAAAATATAAAAACCTTGCATTATTTTAAGACAGGGCTGTCAAACTTGCAGCCCGCGGGCCGGATGCATCATGCGCTAGCCACACCCACACCCGGTTTAGCGAAGGGGTAGAAAGACACAATACATCACGTGATGCCGCCATGACGACGCAAGTTTGACACCCCTGTTTTAAGACATTCATGAGCATTAGTCATTTTGCTCATGAATGTCTTAATATAATGCAAGGATTTGTTTCTTTTTTCTGTAAATAGGACAACTGGATTAAGAATCAGGTGATAAGAGAAAGGACTGCAGTTTTGTCAATTTTAATATAGCAGATCTGATTGACTGAGAGGAAGCAACTTTATCTGAATTTATCCAGTTCTGAAATAAAATGTAAAAACTTCAGTTTCTTTTATATAGGAATTCAGCAGAGTTTTCTCCACCCATTGGCCAACATTTGATAGATATCATCTATTTTCAGGAGAGGCCACTAATCCTGAACATTTTGTCTATTAAAAGTAGTTTTATGAAATTGTGGCCTTCCAGTTATAGTTAAATGAAGGCATAAAGATTTGAATTTCTGAACTGAGATTCAGATTTCATCCTGAATGAAACAGGAAAATGGGCTCATCCTAGAAAAGTCTAACAATGCTATTTTCTAGTTCCAGTGTTTATTTTAAAAATCTGGACATGCACACATTAGAAGTGGAAACACTGCTTTCCTTTTTGGTGATGCCTATCCAAATGAAAAAGAACATTTTGGCCATTAGAAGTTTTCCTCAGTGGCAAGAAAGGCTAAGATTGCTTTTGCAATTGTTCTTCTACTGATATATTCTTTGCTTTCCAAAATCATATGCAAGGATTGCAGGGCCATCCTACTCCCCCTCCCCCTAGAAAATATAAAAGGGTATTGCTGTATTCATCCATCTATCAGCATTCATCAAATATCTCAATGTGGTACCTATGAATACTTACCTGTTGTAATATCATGGTTTATCCCCTCTACAGAAACTGAGGCATTAGCAATTGGATTACCCTGAAGATTTCTAACAAATCCTTTTATTCCTCGATGTATCTTAAAAATAAAGCACAAAAAGTCTTGATATTTCTCTAAATAATATATTTACAAAATAAGAGAAGAAAGAACTTAGAACGATTCACAACTATTCACTTCCTATTAAAGTTAGTGGATTTAGTCTCTGATAAAATGTCTGTACTGGATCATTGTCAGTAGGAACATTTCAGATCACTGTCAGCATGAACATGTTGTGTTCAGAGCTTGTTGCTGGTTAAACTAAATACAGAGTCTCTTCAAACAATATTTTGAAAATTGTTGAATATTTATTTGACTTTTAAAATCTCTGATTATTGTTTCCAGAAAGGAGGCAGTGGCAAATCACTTCCAAAATCTTTGCTAGAAAAACTGCAAGGACTGCTTCAGGAGTCAACAGTGACTTGAAGGTAAACCTCCTCTTCCTTGTTTCACATTTTAGTCAAATTGATGAACTGGTTATCAGATTCAGAACAAACCACAAAAGTAACCTTAGTTTGTGATTTTTAAAACAAGGCCAAGTTTGAAGGGAGTTGATAAAACAGGAAACTATCTGTCAACTCGCATCCCTGGCCAGCTCTCGAGTTGCCATAGGCAAGGGGGTTGGGAAGCCGACGAAGCAGCATGGCAGCCAAAAACAGAAGTACATTCTAGACATATCTCTCTCAAGGCTGTCTCCTAGGGTTACCCACAGCGGCCAGAAGGGAGTGATCTCTACAGCCCGTGAAATTTCTCCCTTGGCAAATATGATTGATGAATTACCCTAGGGGGAGGGGTGTGATTGGGGCGTAAATTACATGGGGTCAGAGTTGGCTTCATTTGGAACGTGCCGACATGAAGCTCCTAATAAATAACTAGATTTCTTTTGAAGCTTTGCTCGAGGCTCATGATTTAATTAGGGCATTCATTGGAACCCTGACAGCATCATTAGAGACTTCCTCATTTAACTGCATTTTGTGCAAAGGGGATGTGTAGACGCATAAAAGGTTTTTTCCAGTTTAGAAAGTAAAATATAACTTTGTAACGATGGCCATCAACATGAATAAACCCCTTCTGTGGTTTAGTGGTTGGAGTGAGTTTTTAATCACTAGCTTCATAGGTCAAGCTTGGAACTCAACTGCTGAATGTCTGATCTCAGGAAATAGTCCTTCCTTATTCACAGAATTGAGAATTAGGTTCTCAAAGGGTCACTCTAATCTCATTTCAGAAATCAATATATTTGCTTAGTTCTGTTAAGGCTGTTATCCCAATCAGCATAATTATATAATTTTTAACACTTGTAGAATAACAAAAAGGAGTTATTTTTAGACCCTTTATCAATATTTGCTGAAGTAGATATGTTGATTTTCTTTTCTGAAGTTGTGCATCTCTATGTGATTGTGTTTCTGCAGTTGTTCCATGTGCCTGAATGTGCACACTGGGAAGCATGTTATGGGCTACATATGACAATTCTGGATCATGCGACTAGGACCAGGCTTTTAGTTTTTCAGTCACCAGTTTCAAGTTGCTTCCAGCTGCCTGTTTTCTTTTTAACCATCTTCAGCATGACGCCTATTTTTCATCTCCACCTTTCTTTGTCCTGCCATATTAAACCTCATTCAGTTTTCAGAAAGATAGCATGCGGACAAACCAAAAATTGAAATAATAAAAATTAAACCCAAGCTGGCACAAAGAATCTTAATATAAATATAAAACTGTATGTAGATAGTTTGTCTACTGAAGAAATAAGTTTCCTGTGCAGACTGGTCCCTCATGAGCCTTCCAACTGTAAAACAATGAAGAAAGCAAGTACATTATAAGAAATGGATAGTGATTCTTGAGAGGTGGTTATTGGGTGCCATGAACTGAGAGGACATGTTCCCAGAAGGGTCATCTTTGGGTTACAGAATTCATCTGGTTATTAAGACAAATTTAGGCCAGATAGTTCTTAGAGCTAGATAAAATGAAATCATATGTGATTTATACATGTAGGTAACGTGTCATCAGAGTATAAGTAGAAAATCTTGGGCACACGAATATCTCTATATGTTCAGGGTTTCTCTTCTTAAGATTTCTGCTTGGCCACAAGTTAGGTGCTGTCAGGTGCAAAGGATCAGGATAATAATTCAAAGCTTTAATGCTTAAGCCTACATTTGGAGAACTTTGGCAGTTTTTCCAATTGCATCATGGTATCTCACAGTCAGCTGTCAATTTCAGAATTCTCCTAGGTTTGGGATTATATTTGGAATTATATGTAACAATTTTTTTTAATTTGAACTATTTTTCCAAAGTAGAAACTGAAGTCAGATACAAATAAAAAGTTCAAAATGAGGTCTGTGAATCCTGATTCCAACTTTTAATTTATTTCTCCTTCAAATCAATCCCAATTGTGTATAATTATAGCCATACAGGGAAATGGTAACACTTGCTTCTCTCCTACTATATATATTTCAAAAACGAATTCATTGAACTTAATGGGATCTAGCCTACGTGTAAACATGTATCATACTGAGCTGCTCACTAGGCTTTCTAGCAGTTCTTTAAATCTCAACATGGTTGTTTGGTTGTTTGTTTGTTTGGTTGGTTGGTTGGTTGGTTTTACTACAAGGACAGGAAACCTGTAGTGCTCATCTCCAAGTCCTCTTTATTCAGACATCACCGTCCTGTCTGACCTTGACTTCTGAAAACTGATAGTGCTTTCTTTACATTTTGTCATGGCTCGGGATTCAGATGACTCTGAATCTGAAGAAACCCCTCTAGCTGAGCCAGCAGAATGTGAACCTCAGAAGACACTAAGCCATGAATCACTTGAGACTGATCAAACAGATGCATTATCAGAATAGTTGGAACAGAGAAGATATAGCTTTCAAACCTTCAGATTCAGCAAGTAAAGATTCTCATTAAGGCTCCTTGGCAAGCAAGGGAGTGACTGTCTTAATTAGAGGACAGCTGGCTGCAGACTGATATAAGTGGCAACCTTATTTCTCTATTGGAAGTCTGATTTCCTGTGCCTGGCATGTTGTTTTGATATATTCTGCTCATACAAGAAACTCTGACCTTTGGACTGAGTAAGGAACCAGGCTTGACTGTCTGAACCTCTCTTCTGCATGCGCCTGTTTAAAGCAATACTACTTAGACAAGCTTTGTTTCTAGGAGACTCTGTTGATATTCATTTGCTTATCTGCTGTTTATCCATACCATCTTAAGCAGATTGCTATCAACACCTAGCAACTGCATATTTGTGCGTTTGAAACAGGACACATTTGAAGGAGTGAAGCTGTAGTTCAAATGATGAAGCAATGAGCCTTATGATCACCCAAAACTAAGTATAACACTTGATGGTCAACAAATGCCCTAACCTTGTTCTCCAGGAAAAAATTACCTGCTCAATGTAACTGATAAGTGAATTCTTGTTGTCCTCCCAATAGGTTTTCAGAGTTTCTTCTGGAGGGAATTTTTCACAGCTAAGCTCCACGGTGATTTCAAAGCAATTGCTGCTAAGATAGTTGAAGTCTTGCATACCTATGTAATTACATATACAAAAGTTGACATTTAATACGCAGTGGGTTCTAAAGCATATCAGATTAAAGTTAAGTGGAAATAATTAGTTGGGATCAGTTGGAATAAATAGATGTGTACTGTAGAAAATTCAAGACCGATATATATTATGGTACATATATACTGGTCTATTTACAAGACCTTCAGGGCAGGTAATATGTTCTTGGACCAAAGTCTGAAGTGTAATATGATGATTGATTTGCAATCACAGCTGTAATTATACATTTGGTCTATATATTTTGCTGATGTGAATATTTGGCTTCAAAAATCCTACTTAGGAGTCAAAGAATTTCTAGGTATAATTCAAGTGTTTCTAGGTAAAATGAGTTAATATCAGATAATAACATCATGACCGACGAAGCCTTGAAAACCAAGGATTTTGAAATGGACTTTTTAAAAAATATTGCAATTTCAAGAAACACAGTATATCAGTGCTAATTATGAGATGGAGACTTACCCATGGTAAAGATATTGTTTAGTACATTTGACAACATAATAGTTGTTTATATATGTTCACCAGTCAAAATCAATCAAGAATATTCCAACGAATTTAAACAAAAAAAGAGAGTAGCATAACAAATCAATAAGAACAAACTTTTCTTGATCCTTTTCTGAATGGCTGTTAATTTTTTACTGCATTAGAAGTATGTGCACAAAATACCATTTGTGTGTGGTTTCCAGATATGGTTTAGAATGCCTATCATAGTCTTTGAAGATTCCCTGATTATTAAGGAGTAAGTACATATATAAAGACAGCTGTTTATCACCATGCTAGAAATCAGGGAAGGAAAGAAAGTGGGCCCGAATGTATTCCCCACCTGCCAAGAATAATGATAACAAAGCAGGTATGTAAAATCTCTTGATTTCAACTGTAACATTTCTGAAATAATAAATCTTTATAACTTCTTTTTTCCTGGATATAAATTGCCCCAATGGGTGGAAACAACAGTTGTAATTTATTTTGCTTCATGTACAGAACAAACTGACATGAGTTCTGATTTATTTCCTACATATTATATTGCTTACACCAGTTAACATGCCAATCAGGAACCATTTTATAACATTGGAATAATATGCTAAATGACGAGGGAAAAACTCACTATGATAGATTCATCCGTTCCATTTTTTTCTTATAAGTAAAATCCATGGAATTGTAAAAATTGCTGTATGTAATGGATTAGTTCATAAAAATTATGAAATGATAATTTGTTGTTTTATCATATAAAAAGGTTTGCTTTCACAATAAATATTTTAAAACATTGAACAAGGAATTAGCGTTATTATTCTGCCTTTTTAAACTGCCAAGAAAATGAGAAACTCACAATGCAAATCAAATTATTTATTTATTTAGTGCAAATCAAATTTGTATAAATATTGATATGTCTTTTGTCTATTAACTGATTTGATAAATGTACCACATTTTTATGTGCTAGGCTCTTTACTATGTACATGGAATGTGTACATTTTTAATGCTGGTTAGGGCCAAACGTTATGTACTTAATTAAAATGAATTTTAATATGAATTAGAAAATTTCACAGTTTTAAAGTTTCCAGTTCATATTAAAATCTCTCATCAGATTGGCTACTTAATTCTTGCTGACTTTAATAGGATTTAATTAAATAGTCATCCTGGATAAACAAATTAATTCTTCAAGATGCTATTTCTATACTATCAGGAGATAAGAGTCTTTTAACTCTGTGTATAGAACACCAGAATAGAAATATTATTTATATTCAATGAAATACAAAATTTTCCACTCTAGACAATTTATTCATCACAATGACAGTTTAACTAAGCACAAATCAGCCTGTTTTCCTATGTCTGGTTAAGTAAAAGGATCAGTATATATAAACAGAATAGCTGCACCTGCTGAAATTTGTTCTTCTGTTTAACTATTTTAGGATGCAGACAACCAGCCTTTAATCATATATAGCCACTCTTTCCAACTTTATATTTTCCAATTTTCTGTATTTATATTTTATATATTTGCCACACTGCTCTCTTTTTCTATAATTTGCCTTAGCTTGCTTCCATATTTTCTCTACATTTATACTAACCTTATATTGTATCAGGAACGACCTCATTGCTTAGGCTACTTTAAGGGATGGAAGAAATAGCAATGCAGCCAACAGGTACACTGAAGTGGACAGTATAATCTCCTTTGACTCCTAGTGCACTTATCACTTGAGGGTCACTTGATTTTTAAAAAATATGCCATTCAGAAACCTTCCGCATACCAAACTATGGAAACTATATTGGAACAATAATGCTAACAGAATGTAAAGTTACCTCAGTAGCGCTATAATGATCCTTGTTAATTTTAACTGTTACGATGGTTCTCATTTTATTTATTTTATTTATTTATTTATTAGATTTTTAAAGCAACTCTGGGTATAGCTTACAAAATGAGAACTATGGAAACAATTAAAATGAGATGGGCTGCATATAAATTTAATAAATAAATAAATAAATAAGCAGACAGAGCTTATGGAGATCTCTATCTTTCCATATAGAAACACAGAATATCAGTTTATTTAAGAATAACAAACATTGGTGACTAATAGGTCTCCCGTCAATGCTAGTCAACAATTTATATGTATGCTAAGGCCTGCACTTAGTTACTATCGTTAACTGTTGTGGTCTGCTGGCGGCCTGCAGAGCTGGCCGCCGAGTCGGACAGTGAGGAGGTTGGGGAGGAACATGGGCCAGTCCTGGAGTCTGGGGAAGGCTCAGACGCCTCCGGAATCTGATATCAGTGAGACAGAAGAACAGTGTGAGCCTGTTTCCGGTGTGCGCATGTGCAGAGCTGCCAGAAGGCAAGAACAATTAAGGAAAAAAGGATGACTCGGGTGTAAGGCTTGGAGTTGATTGACCACTCCCATAAGACATAAAAGAGGAGCAAATGGACATGAGCCTTTGCAGGAAGCAATTAGTTCATATAGTCAATTCAAGCTCTGAGAAGTCCGTTTGACTCTGTGCTCCATTTGGCCTTGCAAAACTAATTGACAATTAGGTCTCTGGCAGTGTTTCAAGGGAGATAAAGGTGCTTATCAACATTACCCTGAAAGACTGTATCAACTTGAGCAGACATCTGTCGGAATCTTCACAGACTGTTTGTGAATCATTACGGGCTGTGAATGACCATAATTCACAGACGTCTCAATAAAAGACCCTTTTTGGGGATTAAAATTGGGATTTATGCTTTCTCAGGAAGCCTAGGTCAGAACACCTACCTGCACTGAGGCCTGGGGAAGTTCATTGTGAAGGACAACCTTTGTCTAGATGACCCTGCAACAGAGCAACCTCACCAACAGCCTGTAAATTCTTCTGGCAACAACTATATGAGTTCTACGATATTTGTGGAATTTATTACATTATCTGCTCTATAAACACTAATAAGTCATATTTGACTTAGATTTCTACTTTCAGCTCTATTCTGACATACTGTAAGTATAAGATTAAAATGTTGTATTTCAGCAACACAAACCTCCTGGAACGCTATACCAAGCACCACCATTAGTTGTCCCATCAATGAAACTGCTGTCATCATCATTTTTGCGACATGGTGGCCGATTTGGGTTTGACATGGCTGGATTAAAAGATGAATAGCTTCGGGCTAAGCTTTGGAAAAGAGCATCATCTGGGCAGGAGCTGTATTCATGTGCACTTCCTGGGGGAACAGTAGTAAAATACATAATAAAAGATGGAAAGAATAACAGAGAATGTAGGCCAGCTTTAATTATCTGAATTTAGATCATTTAAAATTCAGGATTATCCATGACAAGAGCTTCATATGAAGACCACTGGTGTTTAATTAGAACAGACACATTGAGATACACATTCTTCTTAATAAGCTGTTTCAGCAACATGGAACAAAAAAAACCTAATACAAAACTAGATTAACATATAATTTGTGAAAATAGTACTAATCAAAGTAAGAAGAATGGTATAATCTCGTCCTCATTATTATGTCCCTAAAATCTACTCCAAGTTCTTTTTCCTTCTTCTTCCATGAGCTCCTCCAGCTTTAAAAAGGGGAAAAAATATTTTGTCAGTTTAGAAAATTACAACATACCATAAAGAAAAAGAAAGCCTGCATCTCTACTGATTAAAAAGAAAAAAAAAAGTTTATTCTGGGAAGTCTGCAGTAACAGGCAAAAAGAGAGAAAATTAAAACTTACAAATAATACAAAAGATAAATTAATTAAAATAATGGACAGTAAAAATTTAATCTGTCCAGGTTGGGAATGTGGGTCTCAGCATGCTATTCAGAACTCAGCACAGCCATCAAGCTGACCAAGGCTATTGAGTTTAGGATTTACAATACATACCAGTCCGAGTCTCGTCATATGGGTAATTTGCCACAAGGTCCCCACCGTGAAGATTGGCGGACAGTACAAAGGGAATATCCATTATCCAGTGAATCACAGCTTTTGTTTCTGGTGCAAGCTATAGCAGAAATTTGTAAAAATTATAGTGCATTAGAGTACTGCAATAAGCACTGCATATTTTTTGTAGAACAAAATTAAAAGAGGTTCATCAGTTTCCAGACATTTGCCCTGGGATACAAAATGGAATAAAATAGACTTGTTTCATATAGTATGCATTCAATGTGTACCTTTGGAAACAACAAAGGACACAAAGGAAACTACAGCCATCTATCTCCACAACCCCCATCTCAGACACACGAACAACAGTCAAGCCTCCTACAACTGACCCCATCCCATTGGGTTCACAACCCCTAGTGATCACAGAAAAGGAAGTGCAAGGCCTGTTTCACAGACAAAAGCCAGGAAAAGCTCCAGATCCAGGCCCAGACAAGATAACTCCTTCTTGCTTAAAAGTCTGTGCTGACCAATTGGCCCCGTATCTCAGAGGTGGGTTCTAATTTTTTTTACTACCGGTTCTGTGGGCGTGGCTTATTTTGTGGGTGTGGCTTGGAGGTCATGTGACTATGTGGGTGTGGCTAGCTGGTCAGAGTCATTTCTGGAAGGTCCTCGCACTTACGACCAAGTCCTCGCACTTACGACCCGACTCATTTGTTTGCTTTTAACACTGATCAGCTGTAGGACGGCCCTTTGAAGCCCCGCGGCAAGAGTTTAAACAGTTTTTTTCCCTCTAGTCATCAGCTGGGACTCAGGAGGCAGCAATAGATTGGGGGTGGGACCAAATAAAAGGTAAGAATAACGTGGGTGGGGGGGCGGGGGGGAGAACCGGTTCGGTGACGTCATATCGTCACCGCTACCGGCTCGGCCGAACCGGACCGAACCAGGAGGAACCCACCACTGCCGTATCTTCAATAAATCACTAGAGATGTGCTATGTTCAAACGCTCTACTATCATCCCAGTGCCGAAGAAGCCCACCATCAAGGAATTGAATGACTAGAGAACAGTGTTCTAACATCTGTAGTCATGAAAAATTTTGAAAGGCTAGTGCTGTCCCACTTGAAAACCATCATGGATCCACTGTTAGACCCCTTGCAATTTGCATGCGGAGCAAATAGATCAACAGATGATGCTGTTAATATGGCTCTGCATAACATCCTACAACATCTTGAATCTCCAAAGACCTATGCAAGAGTCTTCTTTGTAGACTTCAGCATTCAATACCATCATTCCAGACACACTTCTAACTAAACTAAACCAGCTACAGGTATCTGAACACACTTGTAAGTGGATCATAAGCTTCCGAACAAACAGGAAGCAGCAGGTGAAGCAAAGCAGAATCACATCAGATACCTGTACAATTAGCACAGCCCCCCCCCCCAAGGCTGTGTGCTCTCCCCACTTCTCTTCTCTTTGTATACCAATGACTACATCTCTAACGATCCATCTGTTAAACTACTGAAGTTCGCAGATGACACAACAGTGATTGGTCTCATTCGAGACAATGATGAATCCACATACAGACGGGAGGTTGAACAACTAGCCTCGTGGTGTGACCGGAACAATCTGGAACTGAACACACTCAAAACTGTAGAAATGGTGGCAGACTTTAGGAGAAACCCTTCCATACTTCCACCTCTCACAATACTAGACAACACAGTATCAACAGTAGAGACCTTCAAATTTCTAGGTTCTACCATATCGCAAGATCTAAAATGGACAGCTAACATCAAAAACATCATCAAAAAAGCATAACAAAGAATGTTCTTTCTGCGCCAACTCAGAAAGCTCAAACTGCCCAAGGAGCTGCTGATTCAGTTCTACAGAGGAATTATTGAGTCTGTCATCTGCATCTCTATAACTGTCTGGTTTGGCTCTGCAACCCAACAAGACAGACACAGACTTCAGAAGATAATTAGAACTGCAGAAAAAACAATTACTACCAACCTGCCTTCCATTGAGGACCTGTATACTGCACGAGTAAAAAAAAAAAGGACAGTGAAAATATTTATAGACCCCTCACATCCTGGACATAAACTGTTTCAACTCCTACCCTCAAAAAGATGTTATAGAGCACTGCACACCAGAACAACAAGAACAGTTTTTTCCCGAATGCCATCACTCTGCTAAACAAATAATTCCCTCAACACTGTCAAACTAGTTATTAAGTCTGCACTACTATTAATCTTCTCATCATTCCTATCACCCATCTCCTCCCACTTATGACTGTATGACTGTAACTTTGTTGCTTGTATCCTTACAATTTATATTGATATTGTTTCCTGGTTGTTTATTTGTACCCTATGACTATCATTAAGTGTTGTATCTTATGATTCTTGATGAATGGATCTTTTCTTTTATGTACACTGACAGCATATGCATCAAGACAAATTCCTTGGGTGTCCAATCACACTTTTTTTTTTTAATTTGATTTATATGCCACCCTTCTCCGGAGCGGCTTACAATGCGTTAAGCAATAGCCTTCATTCTTTTGTATATTTTATACAAAGTCAGCTTATTGCCCCCACAAACTGGGTCCTCATTTCACCTACCTTAGAAAGGATGGAAGGCTGAGTCAACCTTGAGCCTTGGAGAGATTCGAACCAGCAGAAATTGCAGGCAGCTGTGTTAATGACAGGGTACACTAAACCACTGTACTATCAAGGCTCTTGGCCAATAAAAATTTCTATTCTATTCTATTCTATTCTATTCTATTCTATTCTACTGTATAATGTTTCAACAGAGTATCTGAATGCAATACACAGATTAATTATTAGTGAATGCAAATATAGGTATTATTTAGTGCAATAGGCATATGATATAATCATATCCATGATATAATCATACTCTCTCACACCCACATTCTGATAGTTATCAGAGACCAAGATTTCCAGTAAATCTTTAAGTGCTAGCAGAAAACCTGCTAAGGATAATTAGAACTGCAGAAAAAACAATTACTACCAACCTGCCTTCCATTGAGGACCTGTATACTGCACGAGTCAAAAAGAAGGCTGTGAAAATATTTACAGACTTCTCACATCCTGGACATAAACTGTTTCAACTCCTACCCTCAAAAGGATGCTATAGAGCACTGTACACCAGAACTAGACACAAGAACAGTTTTTTCCCAAACGCCATCACTCTGCTAAACAAATAATTCCCTCAACAGTCAAATAATTTACTAAGACTGTATTACTATTATTCTTCTCTTCCTTACTAGTATCTATCTCTTCCCACCTATTACTATAACCATGTTGCTTGTACCTTTCAATTTATATTGTTTTTATTTGTTTCCTAGTACGATTTGATAGCTTATTAGTAACCTTGACTATCACTAAGTGTTGTATCTTTTTATTCTCGATGAATGTATTTTATTCTCCTTATGTACACTGACAGCATATGCACCAAAGACAAATTCCTTGTGTGTCCAATCACATTTGGCCAATAAAGAATTCTATTCTAATCTATTCTATTCTTTTCAGCCACTTCCTCTCTTACAAAAGGAGCCTTGGTAGTACAGTAGCCTAAAGCACCCTGTTATTAAGACCAGATGCCTGCAATTACTGCAGGTTCGAATCTCGCCAGGCTCAAGGTTGACTCAGCCTTCCATCCTTTCTAAGGTAGGTAAATTGAGGACCCAGTTGTGGGGACAATAAGCTGACTTTGTATAAATACACGAAAGGATGAAGGCTATTGCTTAGCACATTGTAAGCCGCCCTGAGTCTCCAGAGAAGGGCGGCATATAAATCAAATTTAAAAAAAAAAAAGCCTCACTCTCTGCTCTTGCTGGTGGCAGCTGGAGTCTGAACACATTTGAATAGCACCAAGATGTGAAATGGCAACACTGATCAATTCAGTTAGCTGTTTCATAGATCCCATTTTGTACTAAACAACAGAAGCAGCGAAAGCCAAAGGGCAGATGAGTCATATTCCAGCCTTTTCTGGTGGACTTCACAGGTGATGTCTTGCTCTACATGAGATCATTGTAAGCTGAGGCAAAGACCTCTGTGGAACACGTCCTCTCTGTAAATGTGATTTATATGGCACGTATTTTATCAGATGGCATAAGGGTTATAATTATGGGAGGACTTAAGTGGTTTTATGTTGCTTAATATTGCTTTGTTCTGTAGCTCTTCCTACCTAGCTTTTCTTGTTTGATTATAAAGACTACTTATTGTAAGGTACTCTCATAACATTTTTTTTTCTTCTTCTGTTCAATAGTGTCTGATTCTTGGAGACTGCCTGGACATGTCCCTGCAATTTTCTTGATAATATTTATCAGAGGTGTTTGCCATTGCCACTTTCCTAAAGCTGAGAAAAAATGAGTAGCCCAAGATCACCCAACTAGCTTTGTGCCCAAAGCGGGAGAAGAATTCACCGTCTCCTAGTTTCTAGCCTGATGCTTTAACCCACGTGTGTCGAACTCGATTGTGTCACATGATGTATTGTGATGTATCGCAATGTTTTTTTGACTTTGTGGAGCCGGCATGGGCGTGGCCTGTACGTAATCCTGCTACTTAGGATTGAACTCACAGCCTCCTTATCGTGAGGTGAGAGCCTCTGGGCCACAATGAAAACAATCAAATCCATAAAACTAAAAACAACCAATTAATAAACACATGACAGAATCCCCACAAACACCATTAACCTCAGCTCTGAGAATAGAGCCAGGCCTTAAGAACTTCTGGAACCTGAGGGAAGTTGGTATCATATGCAGGAATTGGTTGCTCCTGGTTCTGTCCGGTTCTTGAGAACCAGTAGTAAAAACGGAGGGAGGCTCCGCCCACCCACCCACCTGCCCTGACGTCACATTTGGTGATCTACGCATGCACAGAAGCAAGCTCCTGTTGCAAACCGGTAGTAAAGGTAAGTAGAACCCACTCCTGGTCATATGTATCTCTGAAAGATGCTCTTCCAGAAGGTGAGGGCAGCAATCCCACAAATATTTTGAATGAAATATTTTATACCTTTAGATTTTGGTCCACAGCTTTCTTCAGATTTTTCAACAAATGATTATTTGGACCTCCTTCTCTCTCGTTGACATAGACAATTCTATCCAGATCAGGGAAATTTCGATTTAGGTCTATTCCCTGTGCATTACTTCGACCAACAAACCAATCTTTGAGTTCCCCTGGCTAAAAAGAAGAAGAAAATATTATAAAACAACATGAACATTTCATTATGAACTGTCATGATGAATTTAGAGAAATGGCCCGCTTAGTTCAATCATGTGTGCTTAGGAGAAGTTCAAATGCATGGCATACTAGAAACATATGCCAGTTATTTTCAAACTTGGTTCTTACTCTGCAGTGGTGGGTTGCTCCCAGTTCACCCCCGTTTGAGTGAACCAGTAGTGATGGCAGTGGAAGGCTCCGCCCACCCCCCTAGATGTTATCAAAAACAATCTGCGCATGCGCAGAAGTGCCACGCGCTCGCAAAGCAAGCGCCTGCACCCACGCGCTGCCGATAGCAAACAGGTAGCGTCGGATTTTGAAACCCACTACTGTCTTACTGATATACCAACTTTGAAGGCTGAACAATACAAACATATTCAATGCTCAGCTCTGGCATGCTTGGAGAAGACACACTGAAATAAATGGAATTCAAGTTAATAACGACTAACTAGCATCTCGCTAATTCCAGTGGCTCTACACACACACACACACACACACACACACACACACACACACACACACACACATATATATATATATATATATATATATATATATATATATATATATATTTGTTTGTTTTCTCAGGTTTTCGCGGGTGTTTGTATGTAGGTCTTTGGTTATTCGGGTCTTCTCCCACGTAAAATTGGAAGTGTCTTGGCGACGTTTCGACGAAGTCTCATTCGTCATCTTCAGGCTGGTGTTCTCGGCTTTGTGCTTCCAGGAGCAATGTGAGATCACAGCTGTCTCTTCCTTTTAACTGCTAGTGGGGGTGTGAGCTGATTGGGTGGGAACTTGGCTGTGTTCTGATTGGGTGGATGTGTGTTCTGATTGGTTAGGGGCTTGGCTGTGCTCTGATTGGCTGGGGGTGTGTTCTGTTTGGGTGGGGGCTTGGTTGTGCTCAGCTTAGTCTGAGTTGCAGGGGGATTTGAGCTGGTGAGCTGCGTTGTTGTTGTTTGGCTTCGTGTTTGTGGCCGTGCGAGCTCTTCATGGTGGGTGTCAGTCTGCTTCATGCATGGATTGGAGGGGTTTAAAGTGGCTAATGATGCAGCTGCGGTCTGGCTTCTGGTCCTTGGTCGTGGCTCATTATCAGTGTGGGTTTGAGTCTGCTTTCTGCGTGGATGTGTGGTGGTGACATCAGGTGTAGCACTCGTGAGTGTGGGTCTGGTGTCATTCGTCGTGTTAGGGACTCGTTTGTCAATAAGGGCGGGTTTCCAAATGGCTGGTAGGCGGGAGGTATCGTCTCGTTTGTTCATGCTGTGTGGGCGTTTTTCTATCTCGATGGCTTCTCTGATTATTCTGTTGTTAAAGTGTTCAGTTTTGGCGATAGTTCTGGTCTTTTTAAAGTCAATATCATGTCCTGTGGCTTTAAGGTGTTGGACCAGGGAAGAAGTTGGTTCCTCTTTTCTGACTGAGTTCTTGTGTTCTTCTATGCGTGCACTTATTCGTCTGTTGGTTTGTCCGATGTATGTGGTGGGGCAGGCGGTGCATGGGATTTCATATACTCCTTGATTTTCTAACTCAATTTTGTCTTTGGGGTTCCTTAGGATGGTGGATATTTTTCGGTTTGTGCAGAATGCTGTCTTGATGTTATGTTTGTGGAGGATTTTGCTTATTCTGTCTGTGGTGCCTTTTATGTATGGGAGGAGGGCCTTGCCGTTTTCTTGTTCTCTGTCTTGGATTTTAGTGGGGGTTTCTTTTTGGATTAGGTTGGTGATCTTATTTCTTTGGAATCCATTGGATGTGAGTACGTTAGTGAGGGTGTGTAGTTCGGTTTTTAGGTGTTGTTCGTCAGCTAAGCGTTTTGTTCTGGAAATGAGTGTCTTGGCTACAGAGTTGATCTGGGCAGGGTGGTGGTGTGAGAGTGCGTGCAGATAGCGGTTTGTGTGTGTTTTCTTCTGGTATATAGTGTGTCCTAGGGAGCCATTGGATTTTCTGTAGACTAAGACATCCAGGAAGGGAAGTTGGTTGTTCACTTCTGTTTCCATGGTGAACTGTATTTTGGGGTGTAGGCTGTTGAGGTGTGTGAGGAAGTTGTCCAGTTTTTCTTTCCCATGTGGCCAGATTATGAAGGTGTCGTCCACATATCTGAGCCAGAGTTTGGGTTTGTGATCGGATTTTTCTAGAGCTTGGGTTTCAAAGTATTCCATATAGAGGTTGGCAATGACAGGTGAGAAGGGTGATCCCATGGGTGCTCCTTCTGTTTGTTTGTATTTCTGTCCATTATAGATGAAGTATATGTTGGATAGGCAGTGGTTGGTCAGATCTAAGATGTGCTTGGGGGGGTTATATTTGTTTTGGATAACTGTCAAGGCTTCTTTGATTGGTACTTGGGTGAAGAGGGATATGACATCAAAGCTCACGAGTAGGTCACTGGGCTGTAAGTTTTGTTGCTTTATGATGTCTATGAACTGGAATGAGTTTTTTACATATGAGGTGATGGATTCTGCATAGGGCTGTAGTTGTTTGGCGAGAAATTTGGCTAGGTTTTGTAGAGGTGAGCCTATGGAGCTGACTATGGGTCTAAGTGGGGTTCCTTCTTTGTGTATCTTGGGGAGACCATAAAGCTTAGGGCATCTGGATGATTTCTCTCTGGGTATGATTCAGCTCACACCCCCACTAGCAGTTAAAAGGAAGAGACAGCTGCGATCTCACATTGCTCCTGGAAGCACGAAGCCGAGAACACCAGCCTGAAGATGACGAATGAGACTTCGTCGAAACGTCGCCAAGACACTTCCAATTTTACGTGGGAGAAGACCCGAATAACCAAAGACCTACATACAAACACCCGCGAAAACCTGAGAAAACAAACAAATATATATATATATATATATATATATATATATATATATATATATATATACATATACATATATATATATACATATATATGTGTGTGTGTGTGTGTGTGTGTATTAGGACGCGGTGGCTCAGTGGTTAAGACGCTGAGCTTGTTGATTGAAAGGTCGGCAGTTCAGCGGTTCAAATCGCTAGTGCCGCATAACAGGGTGAGCTCCCGTTACTTGTCCCAGTTTCTGCCAACGTAGCAGTTCGAATGCACGTAAAAAATGCAAGTAGAAAAATAGGGACCCCCTTTGATGGGAAGGCAACAGCGTTCCGTACGCCTTTGGCGTTTAGTCATGCCAGCCACTGTGACGTCTTCGGACAACGCTGGCTCTTCGGCTTTGAAATGGAGATGAGCACCACCCCCTAGAGTCAGGAACGACTAGCACATATGTGCGAGGGGAACCTTTATCTTTACCTTTACTGTATATATGATCAAATGTAAATGCCATCCTACATATTAACTATGTTTAAACATGGTAGGTAAGTTTAATGTTTTTACATTGTAAGCCACCCAGTGTCATTGGATACAAGATGGGTGGCAAATAAACTTCAAATAAATAATAAAATAAAGAAGTTCAATAGGCCTACCTTCATATTTAAATGTTTGTGCTTCTAAATAGCATAATTTATTAACACTAACAGACCTACTGTGTGTGCACTGAAACCAACCTGAAAAAAATACATGAAGAAAACACAGCACAGGTTTTAAAATTTATAGCATCCATATACAATTATTGTTGTATTTATTTGGGTGCCTTCAAGCCACTGTTGACTTCTGGCAACTGCCTAGCTAGTCCCTGCAATTTTCTTAGCGAGATTTCAGAAGTTATTTGTGTTGCCTTCTTTCTAGGGATGAGAGAGAGGGGGGGAGGGAGGGAGGGAGAGGGAGAGGGAGAGGGAGAGGGAGAGGGAGGGAGAGAGAGAGAGAGAGAGAGACAGACAGACAGACAGACAGACAGACAGACAGACAGACAGACACTAGCCCAAGATCACTCAGCTTGCTTTAGGCCTACAGTAGAAGCAGAACTCACAGTTTCCCAGTTTCTAGCCTGGTGCCTTAATTGCTACACTGGATTGACTGACCCTATAAAATTAAAGTACCTGAAATTTAGAAATAATGATTCAGCACAAGGCACATAAAATAGTTGATCAAATCAAACAACACTGAGCTCCAAAATAAAAACATCAGAGCAAATACAAAAATAACTATTTGGGGGCAACACCTATTTAAATGTGTACATTTATTCATAGCCACCAGGGGGAGCTCTGGTTCTGAACATTTCTAATCAACAGGGTAAATTTTGTTTTAGTATATAAAATGAATGCTCAGATTCATTAATCTAAAGTGATTGTAGATTAATGTGGATGTCTAGCATAATGTATTTGGAACAGAAAGAGTGCTGGCTAGTATACAAGCATTCCACTGGCTACATTACATATAAGAATGCCAAGGATCACACAGGGAAGAGGGAAGATCAAAAGCTTAGTATGGGTTACAAATCAACTACAATCGTGTGATTACAATCATTACACATCTGGCCACAAATCTAGAAGCAGTCTTGACTTGCAACCATTTGTTTAATGACTGTTCAATATTACAAAAACTGAATTAAAACCAGTCTTTCCACTTTTGATCATTGCACCAACTCTGGGTCACATGGTCAACATCTGGAACATTTAAAGGAAAGTTCCAATCCTTATTTGTGGTCATAAGTTGAAGGCCTATATCACGGGTGTCAAACTCACCATGTCACGTTGCCATCACGTGACATTTTGCAACGTTTTAGCCAAAGGCTGGATTTAAACTACTATCCATCCCAGCTAGCCTGACAAAGAGATACGGATGATGGGAACTTGGATTGTAACGATTTCTGAAAGACTATGATTTCTGCCTCTGATATACATTACATTTGCACTGCAGAAGCCACCAAAAGGTATTGCATGCTGAAGGAATCCAGATCAGGACACCATCCCGAAGCCCTGCCCCAAAGGCTTCTTTATATTCTTAAAATGCAATCGCATGTCAGTCTTTTTAAAGTAGGTCATACTAACGCAAATATTTGCGTTTGAAGTTATGACTCACATACCTGTGATGCTGCCTTCTCAAAGCCATCTGGATTCAGAGAGGGCATGATGTGGATACGTGTACTGTGGATCAAATTAATGACCGTCTCATTCCCCTTCTGATATTCATTGCACAAGTATTGAGCCAAGAAGATAAGAAGTTCTCTTCCAACAGCTTCATTTCCGTGCATGTTGCCAACATATTTAAATTCTGGCTCTCCTGTAACATACAAAAAATGCAGGATCTCAAATGTGTAGAGATTTAAGAAATGCACAAAAGGCAAATGCATGTCAAATCACAAGCATTCTATAATTTCGTCTTTCAATAACTCAGAATCTAACTCATTTTCCCATTTATACTAGGAAGGGCAAAATTTAGGTTAACCTCTGTTGTGTAGTGGATGGAGTGAAGAGGCAGAAACCAGTGACTTCAGCTCTTTATTAGGCAAGTTAAATCCCAGCAAAACCTGTCTGGCAGCTTGTCCTTTAGCTCAGGCACTAAAGAAGCAGAACACCCACAAGCCAGAGAAAGGAGTTTTCCAGTTTTGGTTTTATTCCTGGTAAAGCAGCCCTCAGATTGAGCTGATGTCATTGGGAGTTGTAGGTACGGAACAACCTGTTCCTGGGAGGAACAAAATAACCTTCATATTCCAAAACCCAGTAAGGTTTGTTTGTCTTGGTTGCAATTAGCATCACTAGATCTCACTGACATGAAGAGCAGATGGATGCTGCAGCCACACTGAGAGGAAATGCTGCAACCTTTTCTGTACTTTCACAAATTGCCCCCAAATGCAGCAACAGAAGAAAATCATTAAAAATAATTTTAGCGACTTGGAAATCAGACAGCAAAAGATCTTCATAACTGTATCAATAAACCTAAGAATTTAACCACTTAGCATCTTATGAAGTATCAGATTCTTTTCAAATAGTGAGATGCTCAGACCCTGAATTTGTGCTGGGCTGATTTAAGTCAAAGATGATTTTCATTCTATAATCTCCAAATGTTTTGCATGCAAATTTAAATTATTGGTTTCCAAAATCAAGGCCACTAGAGACCTTTCTAGAGACATGAATGTTGGTATAAATATTATCACTTAATTCTCAAGACTCATTAACATTTTATTTCATAAATGATATGCCTCTTCGCTTGCAAGCACTGAAGAATCCTTCTAATGACTGTAAGGGGCCTTGATGGAATATTGTCTTTCTGTGAGAAGCTACTGGAGACAAAATGTCTCCAAAAATGTGACAAAGGGATGGACTTAAGAAATAGAAGTCTTTGGTTTGGGAGAAAGCTATTAGGCTTCTTGGCTGTTCAGGATGTCCTTTCTGATGTAGGCTGGTTTATTCTAGAATAAGCAACCTTTTGGGACATAAGAACTCTTAACAGTTTAGCTATTTGCTTATTCACAAAATGACTGCTACGATGTGTCTGGCCAGTCATAAAATGCCCAATTCCTAGAGGATAATTTGCTGAGGTTACTGCCTACTATTCATCTATCTTCCATCTACTTCCCCTCCCTTTTTTCCCCCCTGGGCAATGCGCATATGATACAAACACCCATAATTTTTTTTCTAGAGATGTTTAATGAGAAAAGATAATACTCATCCTTGGAATTAAATTTGCTTTTTAATTCCAGGTACGTAATAAATGTTTATTAAAGTGCAAAAGCAGTATGGCATACATCTAAGGACACAACTGAAGGTTTAATGATGTTTGCTTTATGCTATATTCCTGATCTACTCTGACAACAGCATGACTGAACTGAATCCCTGTGATATCTATTGCTAGTACAAACATGTACAAATTCTTATCATTTGAAGAATCATAGAAATGTAAGCTAATAAAGAGGAAGTTAGGTATTCTGACAACAGATTAATTGCCTGTTTGTAAAATCATATATTAAGAAGGTAACATTACATTTTAATGATTTCTGCAGACTCTATGGAGCCAATCATTCCATTCCTGTCAAGCATCCATCAATTCAGTACAGCTAAACTGGATGTGTTCATTTCATTCCTTATTCAGAGATATGAATAAATGGAAAATTACAAATCTAACTAGAAGCACACAAAGGCTGACACTGCAACTGCTCCCAAGAGGAAACCAATATTTTCTTGTAAATATTCTACTGAACTGATGGAATCTTATTACCATTCAAAGCTTCCCAATTCAATGTACTGTAGAGATAGTGAAAAGGTTACTTGGTACTGACACAGTGGAAACAGCATTAAAAATCAAGAAAGTCCTGAAAATGGTGAATTCAAGAAAACAGCCAAAAAGCTCATAGGTTACGGTATTTCTCAACTATTATTCAAGTCTCAAAACTAAATCCAGAAAAAAAAAAATTACAGGGATGTGTAATTCTCAATAACTCGGAGAACCATTTATTATAGCTGTATTAATTTAAGAAGACTAAATTAACACAATGATTAATAATGAAAGAATTTTTGGTATATTTTAACTCTTCATTTTTTTTTCAATTAATTAATTTCTGTTTAAACAGTTTGATGTCTTTGCATCTCATTTTATGTCTTATTTTCATATCTTTGTCTCTTGCTGTTTAATTCTTGTATTCTCTCACTATATAATTTACAAATTCTTACCTTATGGAAAGGACGCCCACTACATTTCCATGACTCTTGCTCCCAAAACACTATTTCTATATTTTCCAATCTTATTTACATATGACTCAGGTTTTTGGCCTCAATAGAATACTTAATCTTTAAAATCTGCAGTATCAAAGTATGTATTTGAATCCATGTTTTTAGCTTTTTACATGCCCACTAAGCATGATAAAATGTCCCTTCATATGTTCACATTTTCACCATATTTGAAGTCCCTGTATACATTCCAGATCAGTGTTGGCGAACCTTTTTAGCACCAAGTGCCAAAAAAGGAAGTGTGCACACATGTGCATGTCAGGAACCAGAAGAACAGATGATCTTCCAGTTTTCAGCATGCACATGCACGCTGGCCACCTGGTCTTCTGGTTTCTGGCGCCCATGCACGCACGAATACCAGCTGTCCGGGGCACATGCATCAGCTCCGCCTGGCCTTTTGGGAGTCCTCGCGCCTCCCTGGCTACCCCCCTGCACCCTGTCGGGGTGGTGGGACATCCCCGATGACGCAGTTTCGCAGCCCTGGACAGGGAGAGAGTTGGGCGGGGAATGCCGCCTCCTTCCACTGGAAAGCCGGAGCCCCTTCCTGGCCTTGGAAGTAAGGAGCGTTGGCGTTCCTGGTGCTCGGGTTGGGTGGCCAGAAAGCAGGAGAGCTTTGCCCCAACTCTGAGCGGGATGAAGAACTCCCCCCCAGTCTGCCACCAAGAACAAGCCAGCGCAGCCCCCCATCCCCAACTTCCTGCTTCCCAGCCAGCATGCCTCTTACCCTTGTTGGCATTCATTTTTGAGATTTATCTTGCCTTTCCTTGCCATAAAATATTTATCATTCTCCCTGCTTTCTTTAAAAAAAAACTAGACTTAAGAATTATGTCATTTTTTTCCCTATTTGGAAGCATTTCAGAGAGACCAGAAACCTAAACCCATTCTCTTCTCCTTTTATTAAGTACAAGTCTGGTGATACTTTGTTGTGTTCTTCACATCAGTTGTATTATGGTGCCAATACTTAGCATTTGCACACTTTTATAGGACTGTGATATTGTTCTGAACATGGGTGTTATAATGCTTCAGGCTTCCAATTACACAACTCAAAATAGTACTTGTTAAGTAGAGCTAAGTACCTATGTAGCAGAAGAACAAGAAGATATGTATTTCTAATAATCTCTCCTTTAACTCTGGACTTAGTCCCAAGTACTCAGCCCAAGAACAACTTTAATGGGAACTAAGGGATAGAAAATAAAATCATTGTCATTCTCACCAAGTGCTTTCAGTGTACACCCATCCTACAGCTCTTGACTCAAAAAGGGGTTGGATCTAGGGTCCAAAAGACGCCAATATTAAATAGGCAGGTTTGCACTTGATGGAGTGGGGATGTATATTATCAACCCCACTTGTTTCCTACAATTAGTACATTTCCAAGGATTCGGGAAAAAATTAAAAACTACAGCCTTCCAGAATGCAGATTAGCTAGGAGAGAAACTAGCCAAAGCCATACCGTGCAGTGGTGGGTTGCCCCCGGTTCACACCGGTTCTATAGAACCGGTAGTAAAACCAGCGGGAGGTTCTGTCCACTGATCCTGACGTCATCAAAACGCTTCTGCGCATGCGCAGAAGCAAGGCGCACGTGATCCTGTTGCGAACCGGTAGTAAAGATAAGTAGAACCCACCCCTGATACCGTGTATATTCATCATCACTTTGCTCGTGCCCATATGCGCCCCCGCTGCGAACTGGTAGTAAAGGTAAGTAGAACCCACCCCTGATACCATGCATATTCAGCATCGCACATGGAAACAAAAGATGTTTGAAAGGAAAAGAAATGTATTCAAAGTTTGGCTTGATAAGCTCCATTCACTACCATAGAAATAGACCTTCCCTCACTCCGCCCAGCAATCAAAACTTCTAGGTTCTCTGGTCCATTGCCCTTAAAATTCTGCACGATCACAACATTACACTGATAATAACATATTCTTTAAGTCCCACCTTCTCCTCTTCGTTACCTCTGCTATTCTTTTGTTCAATCCATAGTGTGCCCCAGTGGGAAGGAGCTGTTTTGTTTTATGTGCTAGAGAGAAAAAGTTGGATTCCATGGAGAACAAATACAGCATGGGATGGATTCTGAATGTTGCGAATAAATGTTTATTTCTCCACCTATTTATGAGAGTTAAATAAACAAACAAAGATGCTGTGGCATCTATGTACAGACTGTACATTCTCCCTTTGTGTTCCTTGAAGCAGCTAAATGGAGATCCGATGTGAGAAGAAGTCTTTGCGTGTTGAGAAGCAACTCTATTCAGCTTTGCTACATTAGCTTCAGGACAAAGAGTTCTGGACAAATGGCATTAATTCCTTTACTTTTCTCTCAGGTCTCTATGTCTAGTTATCATCACCCCTGTCTCTTTGTTATATATGCATTCACATTTTCCCAGTCACTAACTCTTTGCTTTACCTACAGAAAAGGACTGCTGAGAGGAGAAATGGGATGAAGAATCACTGCCAAGTTCCCATATTATTCTAAGCATAGTTAATGTTCCTCCCTCCCCTGATCCAACACGTCTCCACCCTTTAGGCTTCATGGGAACACTTAAGACCTGGTTCTTCCC